TATTTAAAAATATATTGCCTTTCTTTTCCATCAGAATATCTCTTTTTCATCTTATAAGGAAGTGGACAGAGGTGAGCATTTAGCAGCCTTATAATGCATATTATTTTAAATTTTATTTCATTATACTTGCAGCAAGCTGTACTCACTGTATGTCCACTGAATACTTCTTAGAACTGGGGAAAAGAATTCTGCTGTCAGTTTTCAGGCATCTTCAGGATGGTAAGAAAAATCTCACTGGTTACAGTCTATTAACTGTGGCATAGGGTTTTTATACTATTGCTCTGCTTTGTGGGGAAAAGTAACATCACGCACGGTTCTCACAGAGTTCAAGCCAAGATACAGTCTTATCTTTTATGTTTGTAGGGAGTTACACTTGACATTGATTTAAGTGATCTGCACCCTACTATTCTCTATTCTGATGCCTAGTGATTTTCCCTAGAGGTTGCAAACTTGGTTGCACAACGTATGTTGAACGATGTCAGTGACCAGCCCTCTCCTCTCGAGTTTTGCTCATGCAGGCGTTGCCTGCCTTCCTTTTCACAGAGTACCTTCTGTTTTACTGTGTCCCAGCAGTGCTTCCATACTGTTGCAGAATTCTTTTATTTCACATTCAAAACATACTTTATTATTTCACCTATCTGCCAGGTTTTTGCTCTATTTGCCAAACTTTTTTTCTATTATATTCTCCACTCTCTTGTATTTATTTGCAGAGAAAAAAATATTAGCACAAAGTACATGTAAAATGTTACTTGGTCTGAACAGGAGTCCTGCATGCCCCTAGCATCCTGATATGTGAACATGAGGAACTCTCCCTTTTAGACAGAATAATTTTCCAATGAATATGTAACAGACTGAGGAAACACAGTGCTGTGATTTTTCCCACTGATTATGTAGATGTAATAGCCACTATTTTGGGTCTTTGTGGCTAGGATGGAATACAAATGCTTGAGAAGACTTTCCAAAGCACTGTTTGTGCTTTTTAACACACACAGTAAAAGAGCTGTTTTCCACGTTTTCTTTTCTTCCATGTACTTTTGCATGTTAGATAGTAACTAATTTGAACAAAACAGTATATTGTGCACTAGTTAGTCGAAATACAGTTGTCCTAGTCACAATCATGCAGGAACTAGAACTCACAACAGCAGTGGCTATAGGAAAAGTAAATCCAGTTGTAAAACAAGTGAATACTCCGCTGGTGTGGTAACTTATTTATATTTATATCTTCACCATGCTTGTGTTTTAACAACTCACTGCTTGTACTAAGAATTTTCAATGCTTGACATGTCAGAATGAAATTTAGAATATCACATCCCACTTCACCAGATTGTGATTTTGGCTGGGACCATTCATATCAAGATGAATTTTGGGCCAACCAGCAGAATAAAAGGAAGCCTTACACTGCTGAAGGAAAAAGTATATATTATTCATATAAACCTATAAAAGTGTGAGTGGAAAAAAATAAACACTGATGCAAGATTCATGGATATGCTTATGGAAAATTATCATTTACATCCTAAATTCAGGTGTTGGTGCTATGATATTGTGACAGTTCATCAGTGAAGACACCCACAGGATAACATTAGCTCTCCTGCTCCTTAGGTCAGTAACAGCATGATGTGGGTTGCTGATGGAGAAGGTCTTTGCTGCAAAGGAGCAGCAGTTATGAAAACACCAGAAGAGAGCAACTTTGAAGCATTCTGTACTGAACGATCTAGAGCATGCCCGGAGGCTCTGAAGACAGCCCTTCACTTGCCTGCCCCAGCATCTATCATTAATTGTAATAGAAAGGGGTCAGTGACTCTGTTCTAACAGCTCTATCACCCGTCAGTCCATCCTCTGCTCTTGGCCACCACTGCCCCATCCCTTCCCCCAACAGCACGTTGCACATGGGCATACATCCCTGATCAACATCCAGGCAAATAACTCGCCTCCTGAGGACACTGGGCCAGCTACCATCCTGACTGCGTGACCACCTTCCCTCCTCCCAGAGCTACAGCCAAAGAGGAGAACATGCAGGCCACCCACCCTGTGCCTGGACCCACTCACAACTGTAGGCAGTAAGGCAACAGTGCCAGAGTCTGTGTGTGTCACGTAAAAATAATCTGCATCATTCTATACGTTTGATAGTGCAAACGTTGCATAATCTGCTGGGGAAGCTGTGCCTTGTAGAAATAGCTGAGTAAAAGCCTTTCCAGATACACAGGAAAAAAAAGTACATGAACTTGGCTCTAGTATTCAGAAGCAAAATATGTTTTAAGAAGCTGGACAAACTCCTAGAAATATTTTGATCTATGCACAGTTGTCCATTAACAACTTGACTACCTCTGTACCAGCCAGTGCTATTCCTGTTAAAAATGGAAAGGTTCAGAGGGTCAGATGCTGATGTGGTACTTCGTGGAAACTCAGTTCCACCATATTTTTGCATTTAGATGTGCTCCTCAAAGCAGCACCTAGTGTGAAGAGCAGGGAGAGCTTGAGAGACAGGCATCATCTGGCTTTTCTGCCCTATCCTTCAGACATACTGTCACAAACTTCCCATCTAGATGGCCAGGCATAGTGGTTGGCTCACTGCCTGGTTTTGCCCATGGTTCATTGATATCTCTTTGAAGAGATACAGTTTGGTCTGGATCATCAGCATTTCATGACTATGGATCACATTTAAGGAATCAAACTAGGGAGTTTGGATAGTTAGAAAATGCTGCTCAGGAACCACTGTCAGGCCATCTGGCCAAAGGAATCTCAGTGCTTAGTTTGTCAAGGATCCCCCATATCGTCACTAGCCTGCCAAGAGCAGAAACCAAAATCAAGGTAGCCAACATTATTGAATGGGTGCCCCCAAGTATGGCTATGAGCAGGAGGGGACCTCCAGGCTTGATCCCACTCCATACTGACATAAAAAGGGCTGCGAGCAGACTGTTTGGTGCACAGTGTGCTACCTGCAGTGTGTAGACCCATGCTGTAATGTCCACCGCTCCCATGTGTAATGAGGATGGCCCAAGGTTGCCTAGTGCAAGGTGGTTGTGGGGCCGAAAGGTGGAGAGGGCTTTTAAACTGTCCACGTACATAGTCGTTAGTGAAGTCTCAGGCAAAATGTGTTGCTGCATTATTACTTTTTGCCTCCAATACTTCCATGTGTCGAAATGTGTGTAAATTTGTTCATAGTACAGGATACAGTAAATAAATAAGAAATATATATAATAATAGATGCTTATTTCATAGGAAGAGAAGACAACCTATTCCCTGAAGTTCTCTCTCTCATCCCCAGACCTTTGTATCACTAAGCTTGAAAGAAACTTAAACCACTATTTCTTAGAAGTGGACTTGGGCTGATAAAGTGTAACTGTGTTAAACATGACAAAGAGAACTGCAGAATGGGACATTATCACAACTGCTTTTACTTTTTCACAGTGGACTATTAGTGTTCTTTTACAGTAGAAACGGAAGTGCTCAGTTCCTTCAACTCTTTTTCCCTTAGTAATAAGCTGAAATGCCTGGTTTATTTGATCAAACATCAGGTTTAGTTTCCTCTTTGTAATTCATGTTTCCATTTTGACACATCTGACTCAGGACTTTGTCCTTCCAAAGGACGAAATTTGATTTAGGAGTATTAAATGCTGGGTTCCTATCTGCAGTGGTGGAAATTAAGATCCTAGATCAATAGTTTGTGTTTTCTTTGTCTGAGCAATGGAAAAATTTCTTCCCCGGTCCTTAAGTACAAACTCCCTGTGCAAATTCCTTCACCCCAATCCCTCTCAACTATTATGTGTGCTATGTTAAGTGTTAGGTATTAGAAACTAGCTATGTGATTCCCACGCTCATGTGCTTTATTTTTAGGGTCTTGTGGAATGACAGCAACTATCAAAATGTATTTACTTGCTTACTCCATTCCTTATTTTTTAGCTGCAGTGATATCACTGTATATATCATGACCGCTCTGCCTTTCAGCATCTTTTACTCATGGAATAATCAATCCCCCTCCCTTAGCTCTGTCTGTGGCTCATAAAGCCATTGATAAAATCTCTGTCATTGAAATCTCGTGGTCGAGGCTGAACCAGGATTACTGCTCAACTCTGAGTGTCCTCACAGAGAAGGCTCTGCTTGGTCTCCTTTTCATTCTGATTTCCCCATCATATCTGTGTGGCATCTGTTCTTTCATGTATCATTTGTGCCGGGGTAGAAGAGTTCAGTTGCATGACTGAATGCTACATTAGTTATTCAGAGCACTGATGCTTTATGAAAGCATCCTGCAGCCATCAGGTGAGAAATTATATAGGTTTCTAACAGAGGAGAGACAGATGTCAGTGTTTATTCTCCTGTGGAAAGAATAAGTAGCTTTATAAAAAGAGCACTGGCCCAGCGTTTGAAAGGTAGAATGAGTGGCAAGGTTTTGTGCCCAAGTATTTCTGAGAAGCTGCACACAAGGGTTGGTTTCATTACTCATCACTTCTTTCTCTTTGTTGTAAAGCCTGTAGACCTTGAACTGTATTCTGACCATCATGGAAAGCTGGATTTAAGGAGAAAAATTATCTGAAGGTGATAATGGAAACACCGTATGATATTGGTAAATGCACTCAATGTAAGTACTTATTTTTGCTAAGTTCCCCGTGTGCTAGGGACTCCCTGACAGTGACAACGTCCCTTGCTGACTAAACAACCAGCCCATGTGCCCTCTGTCAGGAACTCCCAGATCAAAACAGGCAAAAATCAATGGAAAATAAAAAATTAATTCTTTGGGGTAACTGTTGGAAAGGGGAAGAAACAAATTAGCAAAAAGAATTGCAGTACACCAGTTAATCTCAGCCCAAACTTCTGGACCTTTGTGCATATGAAAAGAAATGAGGGAGTACCCACAAGATAGACATTAGCACACTAAAATTCCACTTCTGAGATATCTGTATGGTGAAGTCTGCCATTTATTGACAGAAGAGACACATATGAAATCATGCACCATGAATATAACAAAGCAGAATAAATCTTGAATGTGCTGGGCATGATCCTACCTTTCCTGTAGCCCCACCGGTTTCATTCTGAAAGGAGATGGACTGGCACACAGGGGAGGTTTTAGTTCAGGAACACATTGGCCTTGAGGGTCCACTACAACATTGACAACCTTTGGAGCCTGTTCAGGCTGGACCATGCTGTTGGTGATCTTAGACTGAGACGTCTGCAGGGGAAGGGGTGAGAGGTGGATCTCCTGCTTCTTTTCCTTCTCTTGTCTCAGTGACAACTGGATCTTCTCCTTTAATCTGTACAGAACCTATGGAAATAGAGGAAAGCCCAATCTCAATTCCCTGGTAAACAAGGCAAGGAAAGTATCACAAATGCTGGATAAGATTGCTATATGTGCCTTTCATTCCTAGAAGGTAAGCCACAAGTTGTGTTACATGGCGTTTCCCACAATAGGATAAATATTTCCATTACATAAACCACAGTGTGTACACGTGGGTGGCAGGGATGTTAACAGTTCTCATTGTGAGCCAGTAATTATTTGTAATACCAGCAGCTGTATTATTAAAGGGGCAAATAACATAGAATGTAAAGTAGTTACAAAAGACACTGTGGAGAAGGAAATACTGATAACTAGAGTAATTGTGGAAAAATTTGTAAGAATTTTAACACAAAATAAAATAGATGCTCATGATATATCCAGGTACATGTCTCTAATTATAGCAGCCTCAATTTGTTTCAGAACACATGTTCTTAAAAGCTCTTAATCATTTTGCATGGAACTGATGGCTAAACAGAGCAACTTTACCAGGCCACTTTTGTAATGGTAGGCTGCTACTACTCTGAAATACTGCTCAGGATAAAGATATCCCTCAGTTTCCTCAGAGAAACATAACCTGTTCTGGAATAAAGCTGAAGTGACACGTGAAGCTATTTAAGCACCTGTTCAGAAAAGTGTGTTTTATAATTACCACAGATATTGACATCTGAACATACTTTAATGCCAGGATTCTCTGTTCACCTATTGCATATCATCACAGATGTCAGATATCTGCAGCAAAAGCTTTTCAGAAGTTGTACTGAACCTCTTCCACCAAACTCCACACTAACGTTGCTGTATGCTGGCTTGGTGAGGTCTGGTGGGTAGCATGCACTCAGTAATGTCACTCCAGAGGAGCTCGTGTTATGCCTGTTTAACACATCTTATCCCTCTTGAGAGGAATGCAAAAAATGATTTTTGAGCCATTCTTGTGCCATTTTCAAAATATGCCATACAACCTATGAAACGTATGAGAATTACTACTGTAAGTATCGTGTGTGGAGGTGGGTGAGAGGCACCTACACAACTTTTTGAAGGTGTCTGAAGATACCCTTATACCTTCTACTCTACTTTATCTGTTGCTGTAAAGCAATTGAATTGAATCCTGGTTTGCAAAGCCACAAAGACAAAGACATTTTTCTGCTGCAAGTCAAAAGCTCTTTGACAACTGTAGCCCCGCTAGCACTGTATAAAGATCTATCACTCCATAGCTTTCCAGTGAAGATTGGATATATCTGATGGGTTTGTTTTTTCAAGGATTAGCATTAGAGGTTTAGCTGGGAACTGACCTAATGTCATTAGCAGTACACTCATTAAACAAGACTTAGGTACGTAAACCATCTGTTCATTCAGAAGAGTTTAGAATTAAATTGCATGGATAAGACAAGCTGCTCTTTGCCATTATTTTGCAGAAAAAACAGCCCTACTGTGAAGCAAGGACACAGGTATCAGTAAAGATAAAACAAGGGCTTGAAATACTTTAACCCTATTTTCCTCCGGTGATTGCATTGGTCTCATTTGTTCCTGGTAACCCATAGATATACAGCTCAGACATTCATGGTCAAGACAATGTTAACCATACCTTCTTGTCACTGATAAATTTTCACATAGTTTTGTCCCTTGGAGACCCAGGGAATTATGGTTTTGACTTCCAAAAACCTGGATGAGAATTATTTCATATCCTTTTTAACTATTATTAGACCCTAGCTAAAAAGATAGCCTGCCACCAGCAGAAGTTGAAAAAAAGCTGGAGGACCCCAGCTGATCTCAGAGCTAACACACTTCCCTCAGAAAGTGTGGTCAGGGCCATCATGTTTTTAACGAATTCCAGGTGAAAATCAAACGGAAGTGGCCAAGAAAACAGTGATCAACCAAACACCAAGTCCTGTAAAGGGAACAACTTAGTTGTACCTGTATTTCAAATTAGTTTAAATATATTTGTCAGTATGGATGGAAACATGTGTGAAGCCCCTAAATTGGGAAAACTGATGTTTTACTGATACCCCAGAAGAGTGTGAGGCTAATCAGGTGGCATGGAGCAATTGAACAACATGAAGTACTCTCTTTCAGGACACACAAGGTGGGTCACCTGTAATTTTTTCATGTATTAAGCCTAGGGTTCAAAGCCACAGTCCAAAAGGAAAATAACTTTTCTTTCTGCTTCCTCTTTGACTCAGCTTCTATGGAAGAATGACAGGGTGCTGACAGCATGACATTCACTCTTTATATCACCACTCAGATTTCTGCAAAGGAAAGCTGACATGCTATGCCCTATCTTGGCCAGTACCTCCTACCTACCCATTCAAAATCCCAGTGGAAACTGCTTTTATTCATCTTTGGAGATCAACAGGAAGTCCCGACGAGATAACTATGTCTCCAGAAAGAAGATCTTGGCAATATTTTTGTGGAGCCTTATCCGCCTAGAGATATTTGGGGCACCCAGGACTATATAGTAAAATCTCCCAGAAACCACGGAAATTAAGACAGTTCACTTCAATTAAAACATTCTCTCTAACAAGTACTTATCAACATGTGTGTGAGGCTGTGTGTGTATCTCTGCATGAGCAGAGCTATTGTGCATGTGTATACACGAGAAAAAAATTGGCTAAAAAATTTCCCTCAAACCCTGAGGAAGGGATGAAAGAACAAAAATGTGACAGATATTAGTTGTGTTGTTTGAGGCATTACTGGGAGGCATTTGGATACCACGATTTGAACACAATAAAAAGCTTTATAGAAGCAGAATAAATGAATCCAGACAATCTAGGACTAGTTTACAGACAAACCCCCTAATTTCAAGTTGGCTTAAACAGTATTGAAAAATGATAAAAATATGTACCATTAATTTTGATTTAAATCTTTAAACTGGCAAAAGCTGAAGATGATAGGCTGATATTAGTTATATATATGCTATAATCAAAGTGATTTCAGAAGTCCTGCACCACTTTATGAATCCTGAAACTTGTAAATTTAAGAACAAGAGGTAGGTCATGTGAAAATTTTACGCTGGAATGTATTTTTTTGTTATTCGGTATCCTTCTTTTTAAAGAAATTCCAAAATACAATCATAAGGCTGAAAAAAATATTTATAATTTAAGTAACAATCTCCCCAAAACATCAGATAACTGTTCATAACTCATAAAACACCAGAGACAGTAGTAAAAATTTAGAACCTCACCATTTGTTGACAAGGCAAAGTTCATGGAATCATAGATTCATAGGATAGTTTGGGATGGAAGGGACATTTAAATATCACCCAGTCCAATCCCCCTGCCATAAGCAGGGACATCTTTTACAGGCTAAGTTTCTCAAAGTTCATGTCTTTCATTACTTTAAATGAAAAAAAAAAAAATCCTACTTTGCTGATTTATTTTTTTTTTAGTGGGAAAAAGAAAAACATTTAGAAAACTCTCTTATCACAAGTAGCTACAAATATTTCATAATCTGAAGGTGATACTTCCAGGCTACTCAACAGATACTTATAGGTACATATATATATTTTAAAAATGGATATGAAAACGTGCTCATTCATTAAAACAGGCCATATTAGTAAGAAATATATTAGCAAATAATTTAACCCCCTGTCAAATATTGTATTTTGTAAATTTGGTGATGGCTCAGTTATTTATCTATGTAACATAAAAAAAATAGACCTGTTTTACACAAAGGAGTGCTAAAAATATTTATTATTACTTAGAACTTCGCTTGGCAAACTTTATAAATGATGTATGATATTCCCAGTGGAAGTGAGCCCATGGTCAGCCCACGATGAGGGTAACAATGAGCTGTGTGTTGGCTTCCACATATGATGAATTGCTCCTTGGATGCAAGGGGTTCCCATACCATGACAATGAGGACTAGCCGAGGAAATACATAAAACAACCTGAGAGGTACAATTTACAAGTCTGAATTTAGCTCATGTGCTGCCGTATTACACTGCTTAGTAATACTCTGCAGTGTAGATTTTTATGAGGAGAGGCCAGATATTTGTTAAATTTCAGCCAAGCATTAAGAAGCCTAAAAGCCGGTAATGCCCAGTGAGCTCTCAGCACAGGGAAGAATCATGATTTGTAAAACCCAGTTAAGAGACAAGGCTGCACATTTTACAATTTCTGTAGAAATTGCACAGAACAAAGCAATAACACTGACAATTCAGCTGCCTTGCACTGAGCACTGTTGATCATCCTAATCATCGCTTAAAATACTTCCTACTCCACACTTTAAAGGACACTTCCAAGTCATCTAAGATGTTGGCTAAACTTTCTGCTTTTGGACACTCTAAAATACAAATGGACAACCTATGGACAACAGGTGCCTACCCTGTGACTTTAAAAAAGAGGCCGCATTTTGGTCATCTTCTATGGTTCCTACAGCCAAAGTTACTTTGGCTGAGCCCTAATGCCTTATGGTAAAGCTGAATGGTCTCATAGACTGCAATGGCTGAATTTGAAATACTGAATTCCTACTTCTCAAAAATCTGCTACTCTGACACACATAAAGTGGGATGAAAACCAATGTGAGCTCTTTGTTAGCCTTACAGATTGCACATACTCCATGTATCAGCAGGTCCTGGCAAAATCTGAGACAGTGTCCATTTACACAGTCTAAACAGTAGCACACATAAAGATACAGGTTGGACCTGGAAGGGGACAGAAAGAGGGGTGCCTGCAGAAAAGACCACAGCATCGTAGTAAATCCATCTGGAAGGGAGTTCAATGAGTCTACTAGTATCTACCTTTGCCCTAACTCCAGACCAGCTGCACCCGACTATTCCTGACAGATGCTTGTCTAAAACCTTAATGGGTGAAAATTCCTGACCTTCCCCAAACAATGCACTCCAGGGTTTAGTGACCCATGTGACAACAAAGTTATTTTAAATGAGTCAGCCAAATCACCCCTTCAAAAAACTTGCTTTTTTTCCAGTCCCCAGTGGAGAAATTAGTATCTTCTTCCTTATCACAGCCTTTGAAAGCTTTCCATGTTTGAGAACTATCATGTTTCTCCTTGCTCTTCTTTTCTCTGTCATAAACAAACCAAATAATTTCATGCCTTATGTATCTCTGATCACCTTGTATCTCCTCTCTACTATAATTGCCTGACATTTTTCACCAGTGTGGTACCCGAAAGAGACCACAGAAAATGAGTAAGACAAAATACCATAGCCAAATTATTATCAGAGAAAAGTTGAATGCAGATCTTAGAAATCATATCCTCATTCATACATCCCAGTGCAAGAATTGTATTTTTTGCAACAACGTGATGTTACTCAATCACTTCAGTGTGTGCGCTGTGGTGCTGCTGGAACCTTTCCTACAGAACGGGTGCTTTGACACATTTTTCCTACATTGTATTGATGCACATGATCAGAGCTCTTGTCCCTGCCGAGCAGCATTCCTGTTACTTCCTATCTTTTCTCCAGCACCTTAATAATATTTTAAGTTCTGATACTGTCCTCCACAATGCTTACAATTCCCAACACCGTCTATGCATTCCAAATAATTAATGAAAATAACGTGTAGTACCAGGACAAGGGCAGCATTTTCTATATCCTTCCAGTTAAACAGTCAGTAGTGACCAAAATATCTGCTTCTCCAAAGTAAAATTTTGATTAAAAGTTAGCACTTCTAGAGTTACTCTCCTAATTTTGAGTGAGATGGCATGGAGAAATGGAGATGACTAGGAAGTAGAAATTACATAAAGCAACAATTTTTGTGAGAAAGTAAGTGCTTTTCAAATCTCAGAGAGACATTAAAAGCTTGCATAAGATTTTGTTATAAATGTGATCATTTATTAATATCTTCAGTTTAAACATTCTTTCCATTTTAAGGTTTTAAGTGGGAAATCCATCTAGGTTAAAGAAAATTAAATGTGTTTGAAAGCAATATATCTCAAAAGACTCCAAGATACTACGTGTTCATAAATGCTGAGAATTGTCACAGAATTCAGTAAACCCTTATATTTATGCACCACAGAATATACAGTTAGGAGAAGGAAAACATGTGAGATACAAAATTGGAAAAAATGCAAAAATTACTCTATGAAAGTCAGTGGTGGTGTCCTGTTGTTCATCTTTTGTGTGACCCTTGTCCATCTCATATTCAGTGTTTAGGAAGCATGTCTAATGCCCAGAGACCTGGCCACTAAACTCATATAATGTGAATGGCAAAGTTGTTCAAAAATAAGATCACTCCTTCATGTACCTACTACTCAGTTTAAAATTTGTATATTCAATACACGAATACCAACATACACTCTAACAACTGTGCATTGACAATATTGTATCAATGTGGTGATGTTTTTACTATCCAATAAAACTGAAATACAGGCAGCTAACATACTTCAGGGATCCTGGGACCTTAGTAAGAAGGTTGAGAAGTCACTGCTCATGACACCACACAGTTACTTTGAAGATTTAAGAGCCCATTATTTATTTCTGCAGCTTCCTTCTAGTTACATTTTTCAATTGGACTCAAAATATATCAAGAAATGTGGTTCTTCAAACTTTGGCTTCACAGCATTATGAGAGTGACCAACTCCTACCTTGCAGCTGAGTTTTTAATAGCTTTGAGAAATCACCTCTCATGTAAAGAATATGTGACTCTATCCTTCAGACTGAGAAAAGCATGAAGTAAAGAACAGCAAAAAAAGGTAAAAAGGAAACTTACCATTAAACAAGTTACTAGAATGACAAAGATGCTGAGAAATATGACAACTGCATAAAATCCTTCTTTGCTCCAGATTTTGTCTGCTTCACGCTGGCCTTGCAAAACATTTTTCTTTTTAAGCAATAAAACAGAAAGAGGAAGAGAAAGAAAGTTACACAGTAGCGTGCGCAGATTAAATAGCTCTTGTCAGGCATTAATCACCCTCCTCAGCTTTGTCACCGTTCACATGCCACAGTACATGGCACTCACTTGGAAGGCTGCTGCTTGCACACCCGCCTCGGCCACACACCCCGCCTGCACTCTGCGTGTCCGTGTGCGAGCCACCCAGGGGTCCTCACGCCACGCGACGTGATCCAGGACCTTCTCCGCGGCTGCCGAGAGAATCCTCCACCAGAAGACATGGGCTGGTGGACGGAGAGCAAACGAGACCCGCAGCCTTTCCTGGAAACTACCTGCGGGAACCGCTGGCCCTGCCTCTTTCTCCCCACGGCTGATCTCTGGCCCCCGCACCCACGCGCCAGCCTCGGGACTGTTTACACTTGACACAGGAGCAAAGAGCAGGTGACTTGCCGGGTTGCCTTCGTGAGCCAGGAAGCCCTGACACATTTAGAGTACACGCACGCATACACGTGCATATGTAAAAAATTCTGATTATGCAGAAAGTAATCTCGTTATCTGTCTATCTATAATTCTGATTATGCTTAAAGTAATCTCATTATCTTTAGGTTCCTGCTGATAGTACGTTTCTAAAACAGCTGTGCACACTAAATTTTCCAGAACTCCTGGGGAACTCCTGGGGATTATGAAATAATAATAATTGTAAAAGCATTTATTTTTTTCTTTATTGCAGTGTGGGGACTTGGTTGGGCTATTAAATTACTAGAATTTCACTGTTTCCAAATAGAGGTTTGGTAGGAGAAACAGGGTACATGTACCCTCAGTCTAACTGCAATATATTATTTAGAATAAAGTATGTCATCTGTGTTTCCATGACCATGGGTCGGTAGACATTGCTCTCCCAGTTTTCAGCTACTTGCTTTTCTTATCTCTTAATCATGTATTTTGAGTACAGTTCTCAGACTGACTAAAAAATACTTTCTTAAATTCTGGTTTCTGCTGTAAATGTTCAAGGTCTTAGCGTCTTCCATTCACTGAAATTCCCTAATGGCTTTAACTAAACTTCCTGTTTAACTAGTGAGTTCTCTTCCCATCTCAAGGTGGCCTTTTTTCCTCTCTGGGGACATTGTGTAAGAGGACTGGGAGTTATCCACAGAGGAAAGGGTTCCTCTGTTTAAAGATGAGTGGCTGCTTACAGGACCTGTGCAACTGCAGGGGACCCTCTTGTACTTTACACGGGTACTTCATGCCCCTAAGTCTGCTCAGCCACCGATGAGCCTGTTCTTTTGAACAGTTAGTATATCAAGCAAACTCCCTGTGTCCATCAGCCTTCCAAACATAGAAAGTTCTGATAAAGTTGAATTCATGTGGAAAGGTTTGCTGAGGAGGAGATCATGGCTTGGGGAAGAGAGGACAAGCTGGCAAAAAGGTTTGTGCCCTGCTTGCTTTGAAAGGGGCCAGGACAACACAGATTAAAGTCAGTGCAGATGCAAAACAATTCACAGATCATACTGCCACAAAATGCAAATATTTAGAGACGTAGTTGGTAGTATGGTTAATTTACAGAGACTTGATTGCTAAAAAAAATGCATGTGTGTAGCTGTGAGTTGACTGCTTTAGAACTGAAAGCATGATAAAGAAGAGTTTTCCTTGGAAGTCATAGCCCTAGGGACCAGAATGGAGATCCTTCACCCCCTTCTGCTAAGCTACAGAAACAGACCTTGTAAAATTCACGTATCTGTATGTGTGTGTGTGTGTGTGTGTGTGTGTGTAATCACAGAGTGTTTCATCATGATCTGGGCTTAAAAGTATTCCAGGTATTGACAGTTTAACAAGGTTTGCAAGTGTCAGTCTGGTGTTTAGTGAGCAGCTTAAAAACCTGGGTTTTCAAAGATAAGCTGGAAATCCTGCCAAATATTGCTGCAAAAGTTGTTCCTAGACATATTCAAACAGTGTTGACACTCTAACGGGGTGCAGCTCTCCGTGCAATCTGCCACCTCAGCACAGCAAGGTTATTCTGCTGTGCTCATGGCACAGGACTTGGGTCCCAATAGTGGCTCAGAGCCCAAACCAGCAGCTGCTCCACACTCGGGACTGCTTCTCTTGGGCTCCATGGGAATCCCACGGCGACAGCAGCAGCAGCAGCTCTGGCCCATTAGCCAGAAGCTAAGTGTTTGACTGTGGGTGGGTTACCTGATGGCTTTCTGGTGTTCCTGGCTTCTCAGGAGGAAATCTAGATAAAAAGCAGGACCTGAAGGGGAATTGGCCATGCTGACCTTTTGTAAGTTAATAAATGGAGTGGGTTTTTTTGTATTTCTTCACTGAAATTAAAATTACACTAAGAAGTAAATGAAGAACTAACAGGATTTTTGATTCAATGGGTGAGAGACTTAAATTAACTATAATTCATTAGTGTCACAAAATTTTTTAAATATTTTATAATATACTTTGTATACATAACTGAGTCTAAGACAATTAATCTCTATGATATCTGTCTAATGGTATGTATGTTCAGGATGTGTCTTTTCCTGATTTGTCCTTCTAAAAATCAAGTTCAAAGAACATTATCAAATGCTGTAAACAGGATTAAAAAATGTATGCCACAACTTAAACATATCTGACACACCATTCTGAAACACTTTAGTGGTTCCTTCACCTAACCAAGGGAATCTCTCTCCCCGATCTAACTGCAGGACAGCAGAATGATTGCTTAAGCTGCTCCCTAATGACAGAAGAGGCTGTGTCCTACAAGTAACTGAGTCATCTTAAGCCCATGATAAGGCACTGCTTTCTGAAACGTCAGTGCTGCTCAGTCAGAACTTTGTTCCTTGGTCTGGGAGAACTGATAAGAGGGATAGCAACTGCCACGCTCACTACAAATTGTTGACACCCAGGAAACAAACTCACAGGATGGCCAAATACTAGGGAAAAAGCAAAGAAAGAGAGGACTTCTGTCCATGACCACAGGTGATGAGCCTCCCTCATGGATATGTGCTGTGCCTCAGCTGACTGATGTTACTCTACATTTCTCTCACTCAGTTGGGAACCTTTTCCTGCCTGAGAAGCCACTAAGTCTTTTCAATAGGTTTTGAGGAGCGAGAATGTACCACTGCTGTCAGAGGGAAGGAAGATAAATTTAGACTAAACTGCAAAAAGCCACAGCTGGTGAAGGTGGGGAATACCAGAGCAGGTGGGGTGGCAGGGGAGTTCCAGCAGCCCAGGCACCACCAGCTCCCAGAGCAGTTCTTGCTACAGGGAGGAAGGTTCATTATCATCAAGAGCATCATCCCCCAGTGTTTGACTCCATTCCTAAGGAGCAACCACAGTCAGGTGAGACATTCAGGCAGAATTAGCCAGGTTAATTTAAACAGTTTCAATTCAGCGTAATTCAAGGTGGGGAAGAATCAATGTATTCTTAACAATCCCATGCTATCGCTAATCTTACTGAAGAGTGCCTGCACAGGCATCTGCTCTGCTCTGAACTGGAACAAATTTGTTTAGAAAAAATATTTTTTATAAACTTTTTTTTTTAAAAAAAAAAGACATTAAAAATCCACTCTGGCCTTTCTGGTTGTACTATGGAAAACTAGTGGATTATTTCTACAAACAAGTAGAATGAGCAGTCAACTTTTGATAGTAACAAGAGACACAATGACCTGAAGTAGTTCCTGTAAAATCTGTGACTGAAAGTTCCTGCCAAGGTATCAGGAGCTGCCAGGAAAGATAAGTCTTCACTGGAAAATAGGTGAATTTGCAAACTGGTTCAGTTAATTCCTTGGACTGAAACACTAATGAAAGCATGGCAAGCTGTAGTTCTGAGCTCAGAGGAAAGCTTACAGGGAGCTGGGGATCAAACTTAAAATCAAAAAGGGTTCACCGAAGTTCACACTGAGTTGCTTTGTTTTTTCTGCTATTTCAACTACGTGAGCTAAGGCAGGTCAGGAAAGTCTGCCAAGAAATCCCTTCCTCCCCCAGTAAAAACATGCAGGAACGTGGGTGACCTCTCAGACTCCCAGGACACTGGATAAGAGTCACTGAGCACCTCCCCATGAAAAAGCCTCCCCAGAGACTTAAACTTACACACACCTGCGATGGAGTGCTGTGATCCCATGTCAAAGCTGGCAGGGCTGCAGGGCTCCTGTCCCTGCTGCGGTGCTCTGGGTGCACCCATGCGGGTGTAACACTACATCTGCCTTGCCTGATCACAGGAGCACGTCCTTGTGCTCTGCTTTGTTCCTGGGCTCCTCTGTGGGTCTAGGCTGTTGTAACTCTAAGCTACTGGTTTTGATCACTTGTCCTTACAATGACTTGCGGTTTCTGTATGCTTTAAGTGCATGATTGCTTCCTTTGATTTCTTCTCTAAGAAGTTAATATCACACGCTTCAAATGCAACCAACAGAAGCGCCGTGCAAGGAGGATGTAATGGTACATTTTGGGATTGCATAATTTTGGCATGAACTCTGGAAATTTCTCCTTCAGTGCCACATCTCCCAGCTGCCGGTTAGCTTATCTCTCAAAAGATAGTAACCCTTATTTTACTTACTGTCACTTTGATTATTTTTGTCATTCAAAACCACTTCAAATTCTCTTCTTCTCTACTAAGATCTGAAATCCAGTAGTATTTTCTTTTTTTTTTTTTCTCTGAGCATAATTTAAAGACATTAGGAAGTCAGGATTTCCACCCACAACATGGACTTTCTCAGTTATTGAATTTAGTCCCACCACCAAGCACCAATTCAGTAGCTTGTTCTGGGGAAGTTTGCTTCTGATCCCGATACACACCATAAAGCAGAACACAATCCTAAATCCCACTTCATACACAAACTTTAGACCATAATAAAAGAGCAAATGCTACAACTACAGTAGGCCATTGTAAGAGAAAGGACATATGGAAGGTATTGCTATTACCCTGGATCCCTGAATTGGGAACAACTCCATTAAATTAAGTTTTCACATTTCCACAGGTACATATCCCATTCTACACCATGCAGTAAAGGACTCTAGTGGTTCCTACAGCAAAGGCGTATTGGGAATCTGCTTTAAGCTACTAAAGAATAAAAAACTAAGATACAAATTTTGAGACATGCGATTTAATTGAAAATAGATCAATCAGTGGTTAATGCATCAGCAGATGTGAACTGGCAAATTATTACTGGAATGAATGGAAATGTAGTTCCAGTCACCTACATCCCCCGAGACTTCTGCTGTTTATGGTACTGCATGGTCTGAGACTTTAAGCACAGAGCTTCAGTTTTCCACTTGGGTCTTCCTACATAATCTTGGTAAAGTTTCTTAGCACAGGGTAATGTCCCCCATCATTAACATGTCCCCCTCTACAGATGAGGGTCTAGTTTAAGCTAATCCTTGTTAGAAAGAGTCAACCAAGAAATCTTGGGAGACGTATCTCGGAGATGGGATGAACTGCCTGCCGAACATATCTCTTTCTGTTTACTGTAGAGAGAGCCAGTAGACTTTCAAGCCTCAGGCAGCTCATACTGAAATAGGCAGCTAAAAAAGGGAACAAATTCCAGCCCTAACACTTCTGTGTCAGCCACCCACCTAGAAAGATGTGGGTAATTCTTCCTTTCTGCACAGATACACTCATAGTGCACATACAATACTGGTTGTGAAGCATTCAGACTTTTTGGTGGAAGTGTGTAATTTATTACCCCATGATTTAATTAGGATTGATATCTCAGGATTACACACAACGGGTAAAAATATGTGTCAAAGCTATTTAAAGATTTGTATAACTATATCTTCCTTCAAAGGTTTGCTTGTTTTGATTTTCTTTGCTGCTACATTGTTTGGCACAATTTGCTCTTAGAGCAAGTTGAGAGAAGAGTAAATAACTGGTTAGTAGCTCAGCAAGTAAAGATTATGTATTGTTGTTTTTTAGCTGGTGTTTTCTGTGAAGTCTTACACATGTAAACAGTTTATTGAGATGCAAAAGGAATACCTATTAGTGTAAAGCTCCATGAGATTTTTTTCAGGATCAGGGTGTTAGCTATATAATCTGCTAGCAACTGAAATATTAACATAATCTCATTTCTCCAACAGTATTAGAAGGAGTCAGTCTGCACAACTTTCATTCTAATAATTTTCTAAGTGACTTCATCTGGTTGTCTACATTTTTTTTCCAAGGAGAAAATTCAAATATCTGAGCACTCCAGATTATTGTAAATATCTAATGCAAGATGAGATCTTGAGTTCAGTGCTGTGTTTTTTTCCAGCATCTTTTCATAGATTGATGACATTTCTCCATTCATCTATTATTCATATATGTACTTGTCCCATGTCTACCTGAAGTGTTATTTGTTACTGAAGTACTTGGAACAGATAATTGCATCTCTCACAACTGTCAGACTCATATGCTTCAGTAACAAAGGAAATTCTGACCTAAAGGAAGCTTAGATCAGGTCACTGATGGGTGCTATAAAGACCTGATTTGATGTTTGGACAGCACCGCTTGCCCTCATTTTGTATTAGAACAGAAAAAAACTGAGAATCTTCTC